ATGTAAAACACACAATTTTGGTCCTTCAAAAGCAACTCATATCTACTAAATATTTTTTGATTTCCACCCACTTTGCCGTAAGCGGGAAAGGGCTCAAAAATGCACATTTTCATCCTAGCATTGTGCAAAATCCCCACGTCTTCTAAACAAAATGTCTATTCAGACCAACAAAGGGAATGTCCAAAAACATAGAAACATAAAAATATGTCAGTGTTGTGATTTTAACGATTTATCAGCACAGCCGATCGACGAAATATGCTATTTTCTGTTATGACTATTAACAATACACGATGGAAGGTCTTAATTTCAATTACTTTTGGACTAAGATATATTCATGGGCAAAGTTTAAAGGAAATTGATTTCCGGACGCGAAACGCAGTGGACCGGTTTCAGGGAGACTCCCTCTTAAGCTTCATCTTTATCACATTATGTCCTAATCGCTTTATCTCGATGTAAATTCTATCAAATTTTTCAATGCTCTCTTCCATCTTCCACTTACGTTATTATTATTATTATTATTACTATCTGTAGCTCTACCACAAAAACAACCAAGGTGACCTGCAGAGAGTGTGGGTAGGATATTTTCTGTCCCATAGGACACTCAAAATTCCTTCAAGTATAAATCAGCGTGTTCCAGTCTCCAAGATAGTGAAGAAAACGTAGCGAGAAAAAAAGCTCGAAATTTCGAATCATGGTTGACTTGTGAAAATTTTCTACTGCATCAGCCACATGGACTATCATTTTAATGTCTGCTTCTTCTCCGTGCAAACAGGGTGAATCATCGATGACGTCATGCAGCTAATTTATTTAATTTTTTACTTTATTATCATTTTGCCATTTAAGGATAATACATACATAAACTGAAATAAAAAAAAGGAAGCCAATAAGGCTTATGAAAAGGACCATCTCCAGTTAAATATATTACCTAATTAATCAATGAAACACTGGCATCGACAAGACAATTGTATAAGCACATACAATTTCTTTACTATACATAGAAAAAAATCATTCAATAGGATAAAAATATATAAGGCTGAACGTGCAAGTGCAAAAAGTGAGAAAACATAATACAAGACTACAGAGGTAAAAAAAAAAGCGAAAGAAGCGAAAACCTATGCACAAGCATTAAGAGAAGTATAGTGTACTTATTCCAAGAAAAATGACTTTAGTTTAGTAGTCAACAAAGCAATACTAGAGGCATTCTGAATTGCAGAGCTAAGGAAATTAAATATTTTTAATTTCCTACTCTTTTATTTGCAGCCTTAATGCATTAAAAAGTGGACATTGTTTTCATCTGATCACTGAATTTTTCAAGAAACTTCGTTATTTCAAGAATGTATTGAAAAAGGTTTTTGACCATAAAATAATGTATTTACACTGTACATTAAATCTTGTTGTGGATCTTTATTACGGCTTACCAGTATCACATAGCCTTCAGACCGATGAACGGTCAAAGTCTTGTATCAACGACCCTTGACTGCCGAGGCAAGTGCAAAAAGCACTTCCTTAATTTTGCCTCTAAAGAAGTGGTTTGATTAACCATATCTGTGTTAACTGATTGTATTCTCATTTCCAGGCAAATGAAACAAGACAGAGCTTAAGAACGAGGCCGTGAACATCAATTAACAGATTTGTTTGGTTGGCCAAACCACTGCTTTTATAGGAGCTTTAGCCTTTTTTTTTAGTTTAGCCTATGTTAAGTTTAGCCTTTGTTAAGTAGTCTTAACACTAGTCCTTGTGATGCTACTCCTAAAATACTCGTTGTCGTCTTCGTCTTGGAATAATCTACACAGGAGACCCACACAATCTGTTTGTGTAGCCGATTGTTATTTTATAGTAAATGTACTGGATTTACCGTTTGCTTCACCCATAGCGATATATCGCTAACTATGTATATAAATCAATGATAAATAAACGTTGAATTACCTTGCCTGTGGTGTATAGTCGTCCTTTTGCCTCAAAAGCGGTTTTTTGGGCGATTTTGATTGAGTTAGCCGTTGACTATTCCATATATGGAACAGTCAACGGCGAACTCAAATTCATTCAAAATCGTCCAAAAAACCGCTGAAAAAAAAAAATATATATATATCGCGAAGATCTGAATAGGCACATTCCACAAAAGATAAACGAATTCGCCTCTTTGGCACTTGCCGGAAGGTACCCCTAGTATATTTGAACGGGCAAGGGCCAATTTCAACACACAACACGTGAACTCACAATCAGCAAATGTTTTACTATTACCAAACCAAAAACAGTAAATTCCTACAAAGAGCGAAAAAATAATAGTTACAATACAGAAAAACCACTTTAAGGCGACTGCAAAGTGAAATTAATGAAAAAACGATGAAAACGAAGCTGCTTACCAAATGCTGAGGATAACAGAGTCGGTGGTCAGGGCCACCGAGGAAAGAGATAATCTACTTCGACGAATGATGTTACACTAATAGACACGTAAAAAACTAGTAATAAATAGGGGCCTGATAACAAACTATAACGAAATTTACATACAGCACGTAACAAAGGAGCGTAATTAAAAAAATACCGGAGAGCGAAAAGTAAAAGAATACACGATAACAAGTAAGTGAGAAAACGAAAAACAAAAGGAAAAAATTGCCCCAACAATATTGATTAACTTGTATCGAGCTCGCACGGAAGCGGCAGGTTTGTAAAGCACGTAGGGTTGTTTGATGCTAAAATTCGACATGATTTTGATCGATCAAACAACATCTCATTGTTAAATTAAATCAAAGATTACACGCTTGTAAACTTATAGCTTTTTAAAAATGGGCGATTGCTTACTATCGAATTTCGATCTTGCAAAACTCCATTTTGATCGATCAAACGTTATTAGAAATTTCAAAATTATCTATGCCAGAAATTTTTCTCTTTGCTGTGTTCAGCTACTGTACATTCACACTTGCAATTAAAAAGATCGACAAATCGATTATAATAATTATTCTGTATTTTAAATTGGTTTCGGGATTATCCTCAACGAGGTACACAAGGGTATAGGTTTGGGTATTCTGTGGTTACTTCTTTATTTGCTTGTTGTTGAATCAGTAACATGGCAATGAAATATTGACATATCCTTTATTTATTTACTTTTTTTTCAGAGAAGATGAACTTGATCCCAAATCAAATTATAAGTGCAGCAACACTTTTCGAAGTTTTTTGATGATGAATTAACTAAAAGAAGAAACCGGTAGTTTGTCTTTGAAGTACCTGTCGATTGAGTATCAGAGTGACAATAATATGAATAAAGATCTTATATTACTCATGGGAAGATCTGGGATTTTTACTCCTTTGTAGTAATTTAGCATGTACAATATAATCACTTCAGCAACCAGAACAAATTTAAAATCCTAGCATAATTATGCCAACCATTATGTTCTCTTCCTCTTCATATCAGTAGGGTCTTATTTCAAAGTTTTTTCCCTCAAAATATTAGTTTACTACCTAAGATTGTGACTGAAGCCCGTGCTAATTTTAAGAAAAAGAAAACTAGCTGCAACACTACTTTGAAGCATTCTGCAGTCCTGGTCAAGTTATAACCGAAGGTTTTTCCACTTTGAAACGAATTTAAGGCTCAACGGGAACTCGGTGCTTGACTCACGATAAAACTGGGGAAAACTAGACTCAAATGGCAACTCGCTTGAGGGCAAGAGCCGTCACTTCTCCGTAGGACCGGGATCAAACCACTAACTGGTACAGCAGTAGATAAAACAGTACTAAACTTTGGTTCCAACAGCGTTTATTCTTCAGCGGATCAAACAGCAATAACTCGGCTAGGACACGGCAAAATAATCGACAATCAGTAAAAACTAAGTTACTCATATATGATTCTTACAACCATTGAAGACAAAAGAATACAATAGAAATATAAACAGAAATCACTTAGAGTTAAATGAAAACTAAATACAAATTCTATTTTTAACCTGAAATCTTTTGTTACTATTGCTATTTTAGAAAGTAAAAGTACTGAGACAAAGACCTAGCCAGGTCAGCAAAACAGCGTTTATGTACAAAGTGTTACAATATGAGTTAAATTGCAAGTTCATCTATCGCTTGTTTAAACAGGAAAAGCGCAGACTAATTGGAAGTTTTCACCTTAAACAAAAACCGATCTAAGTTTTAAAATTGCAAGACCGCAAAACCTTTGATATTCAAAATTCGGTTATTACCTCTCTTTAACTAACAACTTAATGAAATCTCGATTTTCGCAAATAAATATAACTAAATCGCAATTAAAACGAGATGCACCTGCACGAAAGGCGTTACTATGAATAAATGTCGTCCGGTAGTAAAATCACGAAAAATAGACTAAAGTCAAATAAACCATTATTAAGAAATTAAGTATTCTTTCAAGAGTCAACATTGACGTAAAATGTATATAATTGAAACGAGAACGAGCAATTAGTTTTGTTTGTTAAGGAACACTGTTGGCTTTTTTATGATTATTACCTAGCGAACACAAAGCAAATGAAAGAAAGGATAATAAAAATGGAACGAGCCCTTTTTCGGAGCTAAAACTTATTTATGCAAATTCAGTTTGAATTACTAAGAACAACATCAAAAGGAATATTTGAAAGCTATATATGATATTCGAGGCAATTAAAGAATTCATGGAAAATCTCTCCTTACAAAGTACACCCCTTTGGAACGTTCGAGTCTTTCCAGTCTGATTTGCTAGCCGGTAGTTTTTTTCCTAGTTATTCACCATCAATTCCTCATCAAAGTTCATATGGGCTGTAGTACAGACTCGTACCCAGTCGCTATTTAAAGGTTTTTTTAGGTGAGAGAAGATTGGGGATTAGGTTGAGGAGCGCGCAGTTTCTTCTCTCACCCCAAAAATACACTTAAATAGCGACTGGGTACGAGTCTGGCTGTAGGGCATTATTACATAGTGCACATTTTCCCCCGGCGCTCTATCATTTTATGAACTAAAAGAAGACCGGGTTCACGCACTCGTTCGTCTTGTTACCACTATTTACTTAGCAGATCTAATTGAAAACATAAACACAGTTTCTGTCGCCATCAGTGACAAACAAATATCCGGTATTAGATACGGCACAAGCAGCAAGACAACTATCATTAAAAAAACTTTCTTCTATCTTCGCGATAAACTTTCCGTCAAGTGTGAAAACTTGCAGTCTTTTATTTAAGCTATCGCAAACGATGAGATGGTTAAACTTGTCAATAGTAAGACCAGTAGGACGCATTAATTGCCCGTCACCAGATCCTTCCTCTCCAATGTCAAAGAGATGTACTCCTGCGCTGTTGAATACCCTGACACGATGAGCTTCCGGAACAAAGAATTTGCGTTGATCGTAAAGGACAAACTCCTGGTTTCCATCACAATTTGGGGCACTTAACGACTGAACTTCATGTTTGCCATCAGGAGTGAGGACCTTGATAGTTTTCGCATCCGTGTCAAAATATGCGATCACGTGACCATCACTTTCAAAAACAACACAACCTCCGTCCCCCGCGTTAAGGCTCCTGATGTGCTTACCATCTTCATAAACTAGAAAAGTTTTATCTTCTTTTTCATCGATAAAGAAAAACTCGCCATCACACACGTTTATGGCAATCCAAGGCTTCTCATTGAGAAATTTTCCTTCAAAGTCAAAAACTTGAGACCTATCCTTGTTTTTGTCAAACACCGCAATCCTTTCAGTTTTGTCATTCACTATAATATGAATAGGTTCGTTGAATTGTCCTTGCTTCTCTCCTTTTGATCCAAATTGAAACGCAAATTTATACTGATGCGGAATCACCTGCACAACCCAGGGACTACCAGTCAGCGGCTGTCCGTCAACTTGGATCTCTACTCTATGTTGTCCAACACACTGTGGTGTGTATCTTACTGTATACTTGCCGTCTTTGGTGTCTTTTATCTCTGTTTCCAGTTGATCACCTGCTGGAGCAGAAATGTTAACTTTTACTTGATCATCTTCATGATATCCCGGCTCTCCATCGGAATTTCTGGTAACAATGGTTAAATTTGTTTCCATTTTCTCTCTTTTCTCTTTCTGGTTTTCAATTTCAACTAACGTCATTAAAGGATCTGTGTCACTGACCACAACGCGATCCAAAATCTTCACTTTCTCTTCCACCATATAATGCACGTGTGAGGGTTTATAAATGTCAGGCTTTTTCGCACTCAGGAGTTCTTCACAGCGTCCAATAATGGCCTGGTTAGTTTGTAGAATTTCAGCACTGATGTTTCTTTTGACGATACTCTCGCCTTGTTCAACACAACCTTTCAATTGGGCCAGAGCAAACTCAAAGTTTTCTAGTCTTCTTGCGTGATGTTTTTGTTGCCCTTTATGAATTTCAGCAAACTTGGCCTTCATAGTTTTCTTATGTTCTTGCAATTGACGGATACACTCGTCCACAGCGTCTGTCATCTTTTCTTCTGCTGAAATTACTTCGTTCCTACTCTTTTCCATTAACTCAGTTTGCTTCCTTATCTTGTTGTCGTAAATAACTGTTTCCGCTTTCACTTTCTCCAAAGCGTCCTCCATTTGCATCTTCTGTACTTGTGCGGCTTTCTGAGTGTCTGTTATGGTATGTCGATTGTGGCTAACTACACTGCACTTAATGCAAATAGGAACCTTGCATTCTTCGCAATAAAATTCCAGCGGCTGATTTTCGTGATATTGCTGCGAACACATGACGGGTCTGTGGATCAACTCTTCCACATCTTGCGCTAGTAATTTCTCTAACACAACATTGCGATGATCTCTTGAGGTTTTCACTCGCTGATGAGCTTCAAAGCAGGAAGTACAGAGAAATAAAAGGCACACAAAACAGTAACTGGATGCTGCGTTGTTCTCATCACAACTGCCACATTTTTGGGCCTGTGCGGTGCCATCTTTCAGTGCAAGAACATCAACCAGGCGGTTGAGATGGAAAGACGCGGGCAAGTTCTTGAACGAGTCGTCTTCGGGGATTTCAAAAGATGTCTGACAAACAGGACATTTGATCGCCGTTTGAAGCTGTCTTCTTGCAAAATTTGCATGTTTGTCAAGACACTTAAGGCAGAATGAATGAATACATGGCAAAGTCTTGGGATTATTGACTGTCTCTAAACACAGAGGGCATTCAGCTTCTTTCTTAAGATTTGTAAAAAGCTGTTGAACTTCCATGGCGAAGCTGGCAATGCGAGACAAGACAGTTCTTTGATATCATGTGATGTGGGTGCGGTGCGCATAAAATAACAAAGTGTAATCAACGTTGCGTGACGACACTAAAAAAGGTTGTGTAGCAAACTAGCCAACAGTATACCATCAGGAAACTGTATGATGGAAATCCTTGAGTATTAAAGCCAAGGTCACAACCTCACCGATGGCATTACCCTTATAAAGTCACTTTTTTTCACTTCTTTCACTTTTGACGGCTATAGTGTTCAGCGAAAATCCATTGAGTCTTCGTGAAACAGAACCTTAAAATTAGTTAACTTGCCAAAAATTGGGGGTGACGAAGAAAAGAAAAAGAAAGTTGTTGTCATTACATGGGTTCCTCGACAAAACGTGAAATTAGGCACTTCAAGTTGTAGTCCTGCTACAACGGCTAAGAAATGTACAAAAAAGCGTAGTGCACGTGCAAAGTTGTTGTTTTGCTGAAACCTATTGCTTTTTGCCGTTGTCGTTGCCGTCGCCGTCGCCGTCGTCTTTGCTTAACGGCCCCCTATTAAGTGCTCCGGCCAAAGTTGCGAATTTCTGCAGGCGTTCGTAAGTTTCAGTTTTCAACGCATCGCTCAGAAACCTCGATAATAAAGTTTGCCAGAATATTTGGGGTTGCGGAGGGAAATGAAAAGACAAAAAGGAAACGCCAGGAAATGAAAAATGTGTCCAATAAGGTTATAGTGGCTAGTGGAAGACCTAAATTTTCTCCTTGTGCACAGTTGCACACAAGGCTCAGGCGCCAGCAGTGCATCTTAAGGTGGCTCGACTGGATTTTGCCTTCTGCTAGTTGTGCACGTGCATATGAAACTTGAAAACAATGCCAGTGAATAATGAGGACGCTCACTTGTAAACACAAAATCTGGGGGGAAAATTGGTTATATTTGAGGCCCTATTTAAAAGCCTTCCCTATTTTCAATTTTCTTGAAACTTGCAGGGAATATTTCTTGACAATTGATCTCGGGATTGTCGAATTTATAAAAAAATTTGTCTAGCGGTTTTTGGAAAAATGCGAAATTTTTGGGCAAGGACCAAATTACGTCTAAAAACTGTATCTAAAGCAGCTGAATGCAAGTTAATAAAATTCTTCTTACTCGCGATCGCCCAGAGCAATTCCCCTCTTTTTTCGTATGCAGTTTTCAATGGAATCAAATCACTATGAGATGAAGCCTCGTTGCCAAAGCTTATCATTTTCTTAAAATATTAGCGAATTGTGTGGCTAGCATGCTATTTCACTGTTTTTATTATTCTTAAAACTACATTTCAAAATATTTCGAATACGCTCTCATAGAATTTGTTCAAACTATGCCATAATGGAGGCAATTATAGCAGGTACATACTCCCTTAAGCGATTTCTTCAAAAAACTCCTGGAACAGAGAAACACAAAGATAAATGAAAAACGTAATGGCATCATTACGTTTCCATGGCGACTCTGATTGCAATAAAACCCAGATCATAAGAAATTTTCATTTTTATATAATACAGTTGTGGTAACCTTTTTTCCATATCTTTACTCATGCCGACGTAGTTAATGCTCAAAGTTGGGAAGTATCAACCCCAAAAAATCCAGTCGAGCCACCTTAATTTGTTTTTTCTTCTGGTTTTCATCAGTTTTTAAAAACAAATATATTACTGGCTTAATTCGAATGTTGACCATGTTTTCCCGCGTTTTTCTCTTAGCAGCGACCCTAGCCCTTAAGGTGATGTTACACGAGCCCATTCGCAACGACGATTTTTAGCTCAATCCAGCGTTGCAACATTGTTGCGACATTGTTTCAAATAGTTACAACATTGTTCCAACATTGCAACGCTGTGCTCTAAAAATCGTCGTTGCGAATCGTCCCGTGTAACATCACCTTTACGACAATACCCAATTAACAATCAATTCGGTCAGAGTTTTGGTTCCGACGCGTTCCCTTGGTCCCTTGGTTAAAGTCTGAGTGGTCTCGGACCGGTTGGTCCGGTATGACGGAAAGCACCCAAGGTCTCTATTTTAGTAACCAGGAAGTTTCTGGAAGTTTCACATTGTAGTCGTGCAATACAACGGCAAGGAAATGTACAAAAAAAGTGCGCTGCATGCACGTGCAAAGTTGCTTTTTTGCTAATTACACCCGGTTGTTGTTTTTCTCCGTTCTCGTTGCCTTCGCCGCTAGGCATAACACGATTTTATATTTTGTACGAGCAAACTATAAATATTATCGAGAGCTTCGCTTTTCAGCCCTGGCTAAATCTATATATTAGGGAGCTTAAAGGGGCTGTGTCATGGCAGTACAGTTCACTTTGTTTAATTTTGCCAATTACTCGCCCTCATATCGCCGTGGAACTTAAAGTAAGCAAAGAAATTACACGTAAATGACAAAATCAGAGATCCGAGACAAACAAATCTGTCTCCTGAGCATTATTTTTGAAGTTGCAAGTAGCAGGGATCAATGTTGAAAGACTGTTAGGCTGAACAGTTTTCAAAAACCCTAATTTCAATCCGTTTCAATCTTCTTCAGTTTTGCCCATCCGTGGCATCTGTTTTTTCTGTTGGGTTATTTGAACTTTCCTTTAATGTTTTAAGCGGTTATTTTTATGTTTCTGCTGATTTAACGGGCATTTTGTAGTTTCCTAATTTGGCTGAATTTCATGACACAGCTCCTTTAAGCATCGGCGACGGCAACGAGAACGGCAGAAAGCCAATAGGTTTAGATTGGCAAAACAACAACTTCGCTTTTTTGCACATTTCTTTGCCGTCTTTGCACGACTACAACGTGAACGTGCCTAATTTCACGTTTTGTCAAGGACGGGAACACAAAACAAAAGTTTTCTTTTTCTTTTCCTGAACTTTGATACAATCCTTTAGAATTCAACTTTAAAGAAATTTGCCAACATTTGACGAATTAAACGAGATGGAACAAGCGTGATAAAGTTTGAGGAAGCGCGACTTCACTTTTTAAGTGATGTTTTTGTTGCCGTCGCCGTCGTCATTAGCGGTAGTAGGGACTTCAAGATCCAACGATGCGACGGCAACGAGAACGTCGCTTAAAAAGTGAATTTGCTATTGTTCCTACCCACTTACTTTGTCAAATGTAGGCGAACCCTCCTGAAGCTGAATTTCAAGTGACCATATTCAGCTGCATATTCAAGCTCAGGAAGAGAAATAAAATTTTGTCGTTGCTTGTTTACGTCCTCCTTAAAACGGGAAATTAGGCATTTTGACGTCGAGGTCGTGCAAAAACAGGAAAGTTGTTTCGCTTATTAACCTTTCGGTTTTTTGACGTTCTCGTTGCCATCCGCGTCGTTGGATCTTAAAGTCCCCACAGTGATTTTACGCAACAGGACGGCAAAACGCTTGTGCGTGACAAACGTGACAGGGATAGTACTTGCGTGTTTCGTCATGATCTTCACCTTACACCAATGTTTTCTGGTCTTTACAAAAAAATCTGTTTAAAAGAGAGTTAAGTTTGGCGAAAAGCAGGCGCAGGCCTGGCGAAAAGTTATTTCAAACAAAATTATTGTCACGCTTGACACTCAAGGTTTGCCATCCGTTGCGTAGCAAGTTCACTGGTGGTCAATCCTTACCCAGAAGTCAATGCTATCGCAGAGAATCAAAGATGGTGGACGAAGTGGAGTATTCGCAGTTCTTGGCGGTTCATAAAGGCCAGTTGATAATGGCCGACATTCCCGAGCAGTATTGGACAACTTTACATAAAAAGCTAAAAAATGAGGCAAGTTTCATGCCAGTTAGTGAATACATAGCCGAATTTCGTCATTATTTTTCAGTGTTGCGAGTAGTGAGTGCACGTGGTATTTGTAGTGTTAAAGGACATTTGCGCAAGAATATCCTCACATTGATTTTCTGTAGTCATTTAGGGTTATACCGTTATTACCGTATTGCTGATCAGGTCCAGTTTGTTCGGAAGGTGGATAACTAGTCCACTGGATAAATCTCTGTTCAGTGGGTAACGCAATAGTATCGGTTTCCCTAGGCCTAAGCTTACTTATCTGAAGGATAACAATAATATTTTCCCGGTGAATAACACTATCCAGCGTTTGAGCATCACTACGCAATGCCTGTTATTCACCAAGACAAGCAGGTTGGTTGCATTTGGTTTCTTGGATTTTCAATCCCAAAGCCAAACTTCTTGGTTATTATGTTTGATCTGCTTGCTCTTGTTTGGCAACACTCAAGTTCTATATTTTTGGGTATGAAGAGGGCAAATTTCTGCCAGTAGGTTCTTACATGTACACGCTAAGTAACTGAACCCTTTTACTCTTATTGCACTATAAAAGGAGTGTATTGATTTAGTGGTATTAATTTTTATTAGATTTATGATGCTGGGTCATACTTTACAATGGCTGCAGATGAAGAGGGAAGTCTGAGAGTTTTTGTGACCACTGATGATGGAATAAAGACCTCCGATCCAGACTGGTGAGAAACATACAATCATCTCATTTTATCTGGGACTGATACCCACCCTAAGTGTTCTAAGTGGTGTTAATATCAAGGGACTCTGCCATTAGTGGAGAGGGGGGTGGGGTACTCCCTATATTGCCTATATACAGTAGGGAGGCTCCACCCAGAAGGGATATCATTCTTTTCCAGACTTCTGGTACATAAAAGGGATTATAAGATTTCACTTTGGTAGTATATGAAAGGTTAGACTTTCAATTTGGCTTTAAAAGAGCTTTCTTTTAAGTTTTTTGAAAATAAACATCTAATAGCTGTAAAAATGCCCTAAGAACCTCCTGTTTTAGCAGTTTTGTTCATATTAAAAAGATGGGGCCTTTACTGCAGTTGAAAGAGATGCTGCAGTTTTTCCTTTTAGCAGGGCTTCTGATATTTCGCGCGGTCGCGGACCCACGAAATTCAGGTATTTCCACGAAATCCCGCGAAATTCCCCCAAAAAACGCGAAATACCGCGAAATCCGCCAGAAATATTTCCAAATACATGTCGGCAAAACATATTTAACACTTATCTTGGCTATTAGACCGGTTTTATTCACCCCAAACGTCCAAATTTAGCTTGAAACTTCGTCACTGCAACGAGTAAACAACGTCCCAAAACTACCAGGCATTTTTAGATGAACGTTGCGAAAAACTGGGCACTAACCATAATGTTAATAGCTTTAACATTCGCTCATTTCTCGTCTCGAGCGAACTGTTGTTGAAAGAGCAAATGATTATCCCTGTTAAAAAAAACATTCTCCAACGCTGGTCATATCGACGCAAAATTGATCAATTCTAGCGAAATTTGCCAAAAAAAACCCCAGCGAAATCGGCTGTTTTTTACTGATTGTTTCTTGGCGAAGTTTCCCCCCGAAATTTCCCGTGAAATCGGCCGATTTTCAAAATGGGCCGATTTTTCTGCGAATTTTGACTCTTCTCCCGTGAAAATCGCCCGAAATCGGCCGATTGTTCCGCGAATTTTGATTTTTTTTCCCGCGAAAATCCCGCGAAATCGGCCGATTTTTCTGCGAATTTGCCCCTGAAAATCACGCGAAATTTTGCCTTTTTTTCTGCGAAATATCAGAAGCCCTGTTTTAGATATGTGAATTAGAAAGCAAAGGGGAAGCAATGGTTCAGCGTATTTAAAAGGCGTACCTTTTTTGTCAAAAATGGTGTATAAGAGGGGAAAGGGAACAGTGCTAAAAAATCTATGTTTTTTAAGTCCCACACTGAGATCAATGGTCAGCAGAAACTTAAGAAAACTTACTACACTTCTTGTTTTAGGGCATGAATGTGCCACAAATACCCGGAAAGCAGTGGTTTCTCCAGGTTGGACGCTATGCTACAAGCAACTGTTCCAAAAAGATAATTAATATCCGTCCATGGCACTGGATGATGGCATGGTCAAAAGGGTTGCTCACAGTGGTTTCTCTCCCTTCAAAGCATAGCATCCGTCCTGGAAAAAAACACTCACCAATAATCTATTCTTGGAAGATAATTGACATTGCTTGATAGTGCCATTTAAACATCTGAGCTCTTTTTAATGTTAGCTTGTGATTTCCGTAGATTAAAATAGTTCAAATCTGCTTTTGTTATTAGTGTTTTCTTAATTGATCATTCTTGGACCTATGAAGTGAACTATGCTCGATCCCAGCTTAAAGCAGTCCCTGGCCTGGCGGACAGGATGGCCTTATTAATGGGAGTAACAAGTAAGTCACTTAACATGGGTGTATTCGGCAGGAGGCCATGAAGGGGAGGGGGGGGGGTCACCCTTTTGTCTAAAAGTGTGTTAAATAACCTTCTCCATCCCAAGATGGTGTCACATTAAATCCCAACCTCTCTGCCCCACAATAACCACTTTCTCCAACATATCTATCAAGGAGAGATGCATCTGTGCATGGATATTTTATTGAACAACAAGCTTGAATTTAAATAAAGTATTTCTGATATAGCCAAAACATAATCTGTTTATGTAGGAAGAAGCAAGTGATCTTGAGGGAAGGGATTAGCACTCAGAACTCAATATTGGTTTCATCCAGCCCACTCATGGAGCTGCTATTTTTTCCTATGTAATAAACAGAAGTGTAATATTTCTTGATGTACATGTGTACCAGCTACTTTTATGCCATTGTGGATAGTCAGAAATAAATTAATAATTATTTTCTTTAATAAAAGAAGAAACTACATGTACATGTACTTCACTGTGTGTATGTTGCAGGTCAATTTCATTTACTTGTAATGTTAATTTTTATTAAAAATGTACATTGGTTATATAGTCTCAATTCCCTTTGTCTCCTAGTTTTAGAACACAAGGAAGTTGAGAATCAAGTTGCGTTAAAAACTTTTACATGGACGTGCACATACAGCAAAGTAGTTGTCAAGCAAAATTCTCACAGTTTTATTTTTGTTTCTATTAATAACCATTAGATGGAGAATCCAGTGCAATGAGTGAAGAAGACAAAATTGAAAAAATCTTTGAGAAAATGTGGAGGTTTGTTATTTATTTATAAGAAATTTAGTTTAAGTTCACAATTTGCTGTCTTGCCTTTGTCTTGTAGCTTTAATAATGTATTCTAAGAAGCATTATTTTGTTATATTATTTTCCTATAAGTATCATTTTTTTTACGTGTACCCCATATTTATCATCAATGGTTTTTTCACCATGATGGGCAACAAAGATTCACAATTAACTTCTCTGTATATGTTGTAGTTAAGTTTTTCTCTGGTTTTTAATTGTTTTTCTTTTGTTTTAAGGTATGGTAATGTGTGCTAATGAAGTTGAAACAAAAGAAAAATTAAAAATTAACTACAATATATATTAACAGCAAACATCCTCCAGATTAGGCCAACATTCTGCTTAAGAGCATTCGCTGGGATTTTATATCTCAATCAAAAAAAGAAAAAAAAATTGGAATGAATAGTAATATTCATTGTTCTTCTGGGAAAGAAAGTGTTTTAACTATGTTCTGGTACATGTATCCTTACGCAGGACAAGAGAATATAAACTCTAATTATCTCAGTTTGCACTTTAGTGGAGAATACAATCACATTCATCAGTCAGATTTCTGTGATGTTATTGTAACTGAAAAAAAAAACCAACAACAACAACAACAACCTAAAATGCAGTCAAGGGGTATAGAAAGTGCTTAATTAAAAGTTTCAAGGTTATCTATTCAAACCAACCAAATTCATAGCAAATTTTTAAAGTTTTTGCATTTGCATGCTGGAATTTGTAAAAATTCTAATTTTTTTTAAGTTTAAAAACAATGAAAATTCCTTGTAAATGTGACCCCTACATGTACATGTATATAAACCTAAATTATAAATTGCTTCTCTTTCAGTTATAATCACAGTTACCGTATAAAGATGATTGTAAGTACATTTTGTATTCTTCTAACACAAATGTAAATGAAGTACAGTGAAACCCACGTATAAGAACCTAGATTTGTCCAACTTAACCTAAATAGGTTCTTATAGAAATTTTACTTAGTGGGATTTTGGGCTACTTAGGTTCTTAAATAGGTTCTTAATTTGATAGGGGCACTAGCGATCAACACAGATAACTACTACAGGGTATATGTGATATGGAATATGTTGCTGTACTAAATAATTATCTAGAATACAGTTTAGATGTTAACCATGCAGAAATTTTATCTTTCCAAAGTACTAGCATGAATGTCTTTCATGCTGCGGTGTCCATAAAGTGCTGTGTTACGCTTTGAATCTTAGTGACTGAAACCTAGACTTAATTTTTTTTTCCGGCTGTATTTTCTTCGCTGCCTTCATTTTTGTAAAATAAGAACCTATTGAAAATTTTAGGCTAAGTAGGTTCATATGAAAAGGGGTTTAAAATAAAAATTTTAGCCTAACAGGTTCTTAAATTTTAGGTTCTTATATTATAGTCAACTCTCTCTCAAAGACGGACAGCATGGGGACCGGCTCTGACTGTCTGTCCTAGAGAGGTGTCTGGCTTATGTAAAGCTGAACCCATTCACAAGGAATACAAGTCTTGTCAGACAAGAAAGTTTGCTCTACTTTGTCTTTCTTCATGCAAGGGTGAAAATGAGTATCGGCAAAACTGACCAAGATGCCACCATGAGGTACAACTGTAGAGTAGCAATTTTTTGGCGTGCTTCATGTTAAAGAGTTGGTGAGGACACTGGGGTGGGAGCCCAGGGGGTGTGCAGGAGGCTGGAGATAAAAGGGTGTTTAAGGTGGCTGAACACAGTTTTGGCAGTTTGTGAGTGTATTCATTTGCCAAATCATGGCAAGAGAAAGGTTGCAGCTCACAAGCTGAAACTTGGCAAGTGAAAAATATACTGATGAAAGATTTTGATTGACAGGTAAAATTTGACGTTTTCATAGTTTCCATGACAACATGAATGATTGAATACAACTTTAAAATTCCTCTTTTGGTCAGTTTACATAAAATTCTCTCATTAGATTTTCCTATAAACTTGCACACAGCTTACTATAGTTAATCATTACCACTTGAAACTTATTTGACCAGATTTTTCCTCTAACGATTTTCATTGAATCATCTAACGGATGACTAACGGACAGCTAACGGTCTAACCGTTTAACGAAATATCGTTAGTGTACGTTTTCCCAAAGAAGGTCACAAATAGGTTCTTATAGAAATATTACTTAGTGGGATTTTGGGCTACTTAGGTTCTTAAATAGGTTCTTAATTTGATAGGGGCACTAGCGATCAGCACAGATAACTACTACAGGGTATATGTGATATGGAATATGTTGCTGTACTAAATAATTATCTAGAATACAGTTTTGATGTTAACCATGCAGAAATGTTATCTTTCCAAAGTACTAGCATGAATGTCTTTCATGCTGCGGTGTCCATAAAGTGCTGTGTTACGCTTTGAATCTTACTGACTGAAACCTAGACTTAATTTTTTTTTTCCAGCTGTATTTTCTTCACTGCCTTCATTTTTGTAAAATAAGAACCTATTGAAAATTTTAGGCTAAGTAGGTTCATATGAAAAGGGGTTTAAAATAAAAATTTTAGCCTAACAGGTTCGTAAATTTTAGGTTCTTATATGAAGGGTTTTACTGTAATATAGTCAACTCTCTCTCTAAGACGGACAGCATGGGGACCGGCTCTGACTGTCTGTCCTAGAGAGGTGTCTGGCTTATGTAAAGCTGAACCCATTCACAATGTCAGACAAGAAAGTTTGCTCTACTTTGTCTTTCTTCATGCAAGGGTGAAAATGAGTATCGGCAAAACTGACCAAGATTCCACCATGAGGTACAACTGTAGAGTAGCAATTTTTCGGCGTGCTTCATGTTAAAGAGTTGGTGAGGACACTGGGGTGGGAGCCCAGGAGGTGTGCAGGAGGCAGGAGATAAAAGGGTGTTTAAGGTGGCTGAACACAGTTTTGGCAGCTTGTGAGTGTATTCATTTGCCAAATCATGGCAAGAGAAAGGTTGCAGCTCACAAGCTGAAACTTGGCAAGTGAAAAATATACTGATGAAAGATTTTGATTGACAGGTAAAATTTGACGTTTTCGTAGTTTCCATGGCAACACAAACGATTGAATACAACTTTAAAATTCCTCTTTTGGTCAGTTTACATAAAATTCTCTCATTAGATTTTCCTATAAACTTGCACACAGCTTACTATAGTTAATCATTACCACTTGAAACTTATTTGACCAGATTTTAACAGACGGGTTTTTAGATAATCAATAATATAATATTGTACTATAATTATTAAATGTGTCACAAAATTCGTCTGTTAAACTTCCATTTTAAATTCTCATTAATTAAAATATGATAAAAGTAAAAATTCTGCCAAATATGAGAAAATTTTAATGAGTAGATTTTGAGAAATAATCTTCTGTGTACCACTGCTTTTTCGCAGCCATGTTTGTTTGTCTAATTTAAAACACGTGCCCTCACGCGAGTTACCGCTGACCGCCCACAAAACTGTGTTCAGCCACCTTAAGGATGTAAAGCAAGTGAAATAAGGGTACACTAATTATTTTTGTAAATTATGCCGATGATACTTAATATATATCTTGTTTTTTCTTCTGGTCATTAAAGGGTTACGATGCCAGTGGCCTGGTTTATGAAAAGGATTATGATAAAGATGAAGAATATTCTCCTCTGTGGTTTGTCATGGATGAGTTTGGTTCTTGTATAAGACATTCAGATGATCCAACTTTTGGCATGAGCTTTATGAGTTATGTTCCTCTTGGAATATTTTTCTCAATAATTTGGCCATTGAAGGATCTGGAATATGGAGGTTTGTTTCAGGCAAACAACAAATGTTTAACTTCACATGTGATGAACGTAATGTTTATAAGCAAGAACAATAGATTTTGCTCTCTTAGTAGTTTTAGGTTCATCACATGTCAAGTTTGATGTTTGACCTGGTGTGCATTTCTCAAAACACCCGAAGAGTTTGCAGGGATAAAAGTGTTTTTTTTTTCATCCATTTTTTTAATGATCCTTGGGAGTTTTGTGCAAAGTAGACCAACATAGTTCTTGATTTCGTAAATGTGTCTGAGTTTTGAGAAACACACGCCTGAAAATGGTTGAAGACATTATCATGGCTTGATATCTGTCAGCTTTGTTTTTCAAATAGACCTCACTTACTCTTCACGTTATGTGCTTAAATTGTCCATTACAAACATAAATACAAATCAGTTGATCTTCTCAGCAGGACACTTTTTGATCATGTAGTGCTCCCTAGAGTTATGTTACATGATCTAAAATAACTCCACAGCCTGTGCAGCTTAGAAGCTAATAATATAGTCTAATAATCTCAAAGACATTTCCCGAACTGTGAGATCTCTTTGCCTTATGTGAAGTTCATGTAAATGTACATGTAAAAGAAAGTAAGAAATAAATATAGACCTGGTTGTCATGTTCTTTCTTCTTCTTCTTTAATTCAGATGAAGTGACCAGAAACTATTTACCACAGTCAAAAAAGGAACCCCTAATAAGGGATTGTTGTCTGTTGCCATGGTTCCCAGACAAACTGACAGACAAGGAATGGCTAGAACAGTTATCTTCTGAGTTTACTTTGGAATATGCAATAAAACAACTTAGTGATGTGCAGATGAAGGTTTGCATTTATTTTTCAGTGAAAAGGGATTGCAACTTAAAGAAACGGGGCCAACTTTTAAGTTTAACTGCTGTGTTGTTGAAAAATGTTCAAAATCTGATAATGCTTTGTTTTGATTTTTTACAGTCATTTGATATCTTTATTGCCCCCGCAGGGATTTCGCCCAGAAGGCGAAATCCCAAGGAGGCACTCTAGTAACTCGCGCGTATATTAAGGAAAGTACTTACAGTTGAAATATACAGTCATACAGTCAATATAGAAAAAATCTCGATTTGCTTGAGCAGGGGCCGCGAGGAATCGGTAGGTAATGATGACGTTTCTATTGTTTGCGCCCGCAAGTACGAAATGGTTAGGATGACGTAAAACACAAAAAATCCTGAAGGAACAGCTTACAATAGGTAGATTTTGTGACATTAATTGTGCAGTCACACTTCGATACTCTTTTGCGTTACGTGTTATCAGTGACATTCTGTGGAGCAGTTGTTATGAAAGTTATGGACCAAAAGACACTCGTTAAGCGCAGATGAAGTTATAAGGTGCGTAGAACAGTGTATATTTTAACACTAAGTGAGTTTGCCAGACACGAGTTCACAAATCATTGATTGGAAACCTTCAGCTGAACCTTGCCAGACACTCTTTCTCTCTCTTTGACCGGAATAAGACTCGGCCCAAAACAAGCAAGACGAGCCAATGATTCAACTGGTAGCTTATCACTCGCAGAACTATGGACGATTACAGGAATTCGCCGACCTTCAAATTCTTTGCTGACTTATTCCCTGCTCACAGATGTCCTTTCCTTATAAAGTTTAAAATAAGACTAGAATGCGCGAGCGTGAATTGATCAAACGTCCTTTTAATTTCTAAGGCTTACTTTCCGGGAAATAAAATGAACTAAATGTAAAAAGTGAAATAGAAATAGCAAAAATTTAAACTTCTTATTAAATCTTTTCTTATGGTTTAGAATAAACTATTCTTGAAACTGAGAATGATTATATTTTGATCAAAGCTGTGTAAATCGAACCGAAACTGTGCATGGAACCTTGCGCTTATTTCCTGTATTTACCTCACCTATTGTATGGAAAATGTGTGGACATCTTCATTATGAATCGGTATATTTCAAAGAGGTACACAAGGAGCAAGAATACTATATACAGAGCGGGGGCAGCTGTAGTTTCAACTATTACTTGTTTTAGAGTTATAATTTCTGCTTATATTTGACCAAAAAACGTGGAGATCACTATGACATAACCCCTTTAATACTGAATCTTTCTTTACCCAAAAGACTAGAACAAAGTAGACTGAAATATTCTATTAAGGCCAGGATGCGCCCTTTCTAAGCAACCCATTTGCAAGCCAAACGAATTAATTGTTTGTATTTACCATCTAGGACTGGCAAGGTGAGATATTCCCTAGACCTGACAAAACTGAGGGTCTCACATCACTTGCAAGTGACACTGATAAAATTTATCGCGTGTTCACTGATGTTGTAGAAGTAAAAAAAAACCTGACACATCCAAGATTTGTTCAGGTGGACAACAAGGAAGATGCTGATATTCTTTGGATCAGAGGGCATTTTAAAGATTTCAGGTGTGTAGCAAATCCATGTCTACATGTTAAGAATTACCTCATAAAATTAATATATGCAAAGTCATTTTGTTTTATATCAACAGGTATCCCATTCAATATTATCCGGGGTACCCTGAGGGTACCCTTTTTTGCCCCTCATGATATTACCAGGGAAATGAGTTTCTGTAATTGGGTGGTGATGATGGCTTGAAACGTTTACCTAATTCCCTTTCTCCTTGTGATAGTTAATGACTATCGCTCGTACTAATCGAAGAATGTTTATCGTCTAGATCTTTGCAAGACAGTGCAAAATTCATAAATCAGTTTCCAAACGAATGTACCCTGACGTGTAAAGACCTCTTAGCATCGGTGTGTCAGAATGCAACTGCTCTAAAAAGCGGCCAAGAGGAAGATTTACTCAGAAGGGGACCCGAATGGCTTCCTGTTACGTTTAACCTGACCCTTGAACTTCCACTATTTATTGATCATTATCTCAAGAGAAAGAAGAGGTAGGACATAAAGGAGGGTGATCGCTTAAAGACTGAATGACTTACTATGCAAGCATTGACTGTGCCATTAATTAAGGCGAACACATGTAGAAGCACCAAATGACAGCCCATTTTAGAGTTTCTCTAAGCGTCTTCCGAGAGTTCAAGCAACGACGCTTATGGCAGCAAAAAAGGTCACTAACGGTGAATTTCCGTTCTTTCAAACGACATCGCGACTTTTACAACTCGCCTAATTGTGAGATACATATAAGGGTTTCTGGAGTGCGTCGTGGGGCGTCCACCTCTTTTATAAAGTGCTGCATTAGTAAGTTTTACGTTGGAGTCGTGTAGAGAACGACGAAGAAGTGTATCGAAAACGTTCTTGTATGCACGTATAGTGTTGTTTGCTCATAAAAACGTCAATTGATTTTTTGGCGTAGTTGTTGCTGTTGTCGTTGCAGTTTTCTTAAGCCTAGTTTCCATCGTCGTGATGGAACCATCTGTCTCCATGAGTAAGGGGCTGTGAAGATCGAGACTCCACGGTCCAGACATTTCTGTGGAAACCAGACAATATGTAGGCTTCGATTTTATCCTGGTGAAGGCAGCCCAAATCCTCTGGATTGTTCCGTTTCCAGATGACTGAGTAGTCAAAAACGTCCGGACTATTATGTGAAAACCAGACTAAAGCGTTCGTTCAACAGAGCGAGTCCCGATGCACAACCAATCACACAAAATGAATCATGCCTGCTTTCTATGTAAAGCAATAGAAACACCTGCTCGTGCATGCATCTTATTTTTTGTCTTCAAGTTGCTGAAGCCTACATTGCCTTGTATCGCCAGCCCCTATCCCAAGCCTGTTTCACATTTAATCACGCCTTAGGGAAATTGAAAAAAAAAAATTAAAGGATAGTGAGGCCCAACACGCTTGATAGCTCATCCTTATTTTTTTTAGATGTATAGTATTCTAATATAGGTTTTGGTTATGGTTTACATAAAAAAATTCCTTGTTTTTCAGAGGGCTTGACAATCACTGGATATGTAAACCATGGAACCTTGCAAGAGCTATTGATAGTCATGTGACGTCAAACTTAAACTACATCATACGATTAAGAGAAACTGGGCCTAAGGTTTGTATTGGTTAGTGGTTATTATAGAGAGAGTACTCAGAAGAGTAATGGTAAACACATTTACTAGGTGCTCGTCTAATTTTTTGTTAATTCTTTTGAGATCGTTTCAATTGATTTCTGTGTCTGACTCTAGTGAAATTGTAACGTAACCGCTTGAGCTGATTTGGAGCAGTGTATTTTTTTGGTAATTGACTCACCTTCCTTTTTTTGTCAGCTCTTGGGATAGGCTACCATGTTATAATAAAAAGGAAAATTAAAATATCCTTTCCGCCAAAACTAGGAATGTGACCGGGAATGCCATTTTTAGAGGGAAGGGATAGTCTAAGCTTTTCAAAATCCAAAATATATCAAGGTCTTGCTTTCTTGTGGAAAAAAAGGATTTTGTTCGTTTGAATTCTAGGGATTATCAAATTTAAAAATGAAAGGAAAGTCGAAACAAATTCTGGTGGTAATGGCACCATCGTGCCACCATTGTCTACTTAGGTGGTTTTGCAAGGTTCACACAGTTGCCTTCACGGGACTTAAATGGCCAAAAAAATTCTTGGCCAGGTTCGGCTTTTTGCTATTCATGTTTACCTTGCGCAAGAATGGGCTGTGTCTTACGCTAAAATCCAAATCTATATGTTAGATGGATTAAAAATAAATGACTAAACGGTGATCAGAAAACAGATTTTTGCTATGCCAACCATACCAATGCAGCAAGGCGTAGCCTGGGACCAGGCTCCTCAGTGGGGGAAAAGGCCAAATGGGGGTAAAATAGGAAAATTGGTGGGGAGCGGTGGTCTGGAGAGTCGCCTCGCTCGCTAATGTTTTTGCGCGCACGCCGATTTTTTCTCCTTTTTCCCCCAATGCGTAGCCTGGGCCCAGGCTAGGCAAGGCGTTTTACGCCCGCGCAGACCAAATTTCTCAAATTTCTACCCGAAAGAGACACTGAGAATTACGAATCTCAGGAATCTGGATTCCATTTTTTTTTGCTGAATCCACGCTGAGAGTAGATTCAAAGGACTCAGAGTCGTTTTTCTCATTCAAGTAAAGACATTTTTAGATTTAATCATCTAGTTTCGGGTTCTCCCCCCAAAACGCTGCCATAACCTTTCGATGAAGGTTACGAGAGCTGTTGTTTATCAAATTTTCTTCCTTCTTTCTTCAGGTTGCCTGTAAGTATATCGAGAATCCGGTTCTGTTTCATCGTGAGGACGTCGGTCGAGTAAAATTTGATTTTAGGTATCTGGTTCTCCTCTCATCCGCCAAACCGTTGGTACTATACGCAGACAAAGTATTTTGGCTGAGATTTGCAAATCAGTAAGTTTATAACCTGATTTTGTAATTCCACCGTTTTGGAATGCGATAAATTTTCTTTCTTTGATAGACAATTGCACAGAAAAATATTTTATTATTCTTTTTCAGACCTTTCTCAATGGATTCTTTTGATGTCTACTCCAAGCACTTTACGGTTATGAATTACAGAGACAGTGAAAACTTAAAGCAGGTTTGTTTTTCTTTCCTGTACATGGTATTTTCTTTATTTTGTAAGGGCCGGCTGAAATCCAACAGGCTACATTGTAAGGAGTGTTTCACCAGGACTCGGTAAAGAATCTTACAGATATTCTGTAACAGACTGAATGAGAGGTTTGAATTACAAAGGCGAAATCGCCTATTTTTGTTTTTTAACGGTCATTGCTAAATGAAACTTGAGTCATGGTAGATGTAAGGTATGCCCTGGATTACGTTGCATTAAGGCAAAACAAAATTATTAATTTATTTTTGAATATACAGTCGACTCCCAATAACTCGAACCCTCGCTAATTCGAACCTTGCGCTAACTCTTACCAAAATCGATTTCCCATGGATTTCCTTCATACATTTACTGTAATTTTACCCTCGATAACTCGAACGTCCCGCTAACTCGAAGTAATTTTTGTTTCCCTCTCAGATCATTCTATATAATTTTACTCTCGATAACTCGAACCATATTTTGAGTGCTTAGAAAGTCGGGGAAAAAACAGTGTATTGGCGTCCGAAACAATGAATTTTGAATTTCCCATTGACGTGTTGTAGGCGTATAGTTTACTAGTTGAGGCTAATGTTTGTCACAACCTAACGTGAAACAGCTTTACTTCTCAAAACAGTAAAACGCATTCTCTTTTTAGGCTATGGTTTGTTACTTTACGTTCTGATTTAAAATTTATAAGTATCTTTCAATTTTCACTTAACGTTTCCACTAACAGTTGAATATAATAAAAATGTTCATTGTACAGCAAAAACTGTTTCTTTTTTCCCTTACTTCCGGCGGTTACTTTTTTTGAACTTTTTTAGATTTCCTTTGAAGGTTCGAATTATCGGAAGTCGACTGTAAATGTTATAAAGGAGGAGGTTTAAGCTCAAGTTTAGTTTTCGTTGAAACCTCGTGTACGTTTTTAAAACCAGTTTTGTGAATTGTGAGGAGCCTTCCTTTCACAAATGTCTCATTTCAAGGTCAAGACCCTGATTCCAAATATTACCCAGTTACCCGTAAACATTTTGATCAACATATTTATGAAGTAATCTTATTACCTTATGAATATACAATTAATGAAATATATTTCAGCTTGCTTTGATGTTAACAAAGTAACTTAATAATTGTCATATGATGTAATTTTAATTTTTCTTCTTAAAATAGCTTTTGCAATACTGTATGTACTTGGGTGGTTATGAAAAAGAAGCTTGTTGTTGTTGTATCTCATTCCCTTGTTACTGCGACAGGGGTTGCTATGTTTTCAGACAGTCAGATCGCAACGAAAGTATCATGTCAACTGACTTTTTAACATTCTTTTTCTTTTCTAACAGGTGCACCACCATGAATTTATACCCATGTTCGAGCAGCAATATCCCAATCATAAATGGGCAGATATAGAGGTATTTAAAGCATAGAACATTCGTCAGTTGAGTTCAGAAAATATCTGTTTGAGATTAGTTGTGCCAGTTGTAGGCAGAATAGCATGAAGTTATTGTGTTCCTGTAATACTCCCCTCTCTGATGAAAAATACACCACTCCACCGGGACTACAAACAACGCTGTGGGCTACTTTTGCGTCCCATTCAAAAACAGAGAGCTTTAGATTCTGCATGAACGAGTACGACGACGAGTTCGAGATTTTGTCAGTGCTAAGTAGTGTTCGCGCGTGAAACAGCGTCATTTTGGCGGGAAAACGTGATAGGCGTCGTCGTTCTTCTCCGAGTTTTAGCGAGAATGTCGTAGTGGCCGAAACAAGTTATCAAATGTTAGAAGTTTTATCATTTTGCGATCGGGACAAGGCTTAACCTCCTGCAATAAAGATAACATTATTAACTTTTCTGAGGGAAAAAGGAACAATGAAGCATTCCGGGGTGTCTATTTTTTGACATTTTACGCGAAAAAACTTTCAATCAAGTCTCTTGCTCACAGTCTTTCTCATCCTCCAATCTTAAGGTCTCCAATACTCTGTAAGGCCCTCGTAGTGGGAGTTCATTGGGCTGCTGACTGCGCGAGGCAGTAGTTTAATATTTTGGGAAGTATAGATTATAATTACTCTTTTTTTCGGCTGGAGTGGAGAGCTACTCCTAACCCATGGAATTGGATAGAGATAAATATACAGTCTGTAGATAGCCGTTTGAAACAAGAAACGATTGGCATTATTTTTAACTGGGACATTTCCGCAACGCACCCCCTCCCCCACCCATCTCTCTGCCTCTCAAGCACGACGGTATATCGTATTCTTATTCAATGGATGCACATACCGACACACGGAGGGAGATTTGCATCACGTTTTGAAAGGGAAAACATTTATCAAAAGATTTAAACTTCAAGATCATTGTAGAAAAAACTTAAAAGAAACTCATCGTGGCATCGGATTTTTCCGATTTTAGGCATAAATATAGGACTGATACCCTCACGCAAGAATATTTCTTTTCGGTATAAGTCTGTTTGCAAGATTTTGTTTGAAATGACCCACCCACCCCCAATAATTTTTTTTTGACCGGAAACGTAACTTTATCCGTCTTCCATTGTCTTTTTGCTGCACAGATGACGGCTGCCAGTTTTCGATTGGGCTTTGCAACCCGGCAGCTCAATTAAAAGACAAAATGGCGGACGGATCTCCCTGAAGGCTTTGCGTGTCCTTCTCCCCCTCCAATGCCAATCAAACTCATTTCCCAACTGGAAAAGGTCTTGTATTTGGCCTCGCTTTGATATTGAGAGTTTTTAGAACTCGGAAAAGGCCTATTAAAGGAAGGTGCTTAGAAGAAGGAAGGCGCTAATTCGACATTTCATTTTTGCTTTTTGATAACAAGGCTAAGGTATTTAAGATGTTCCGAGAGATGTTCGAAGCAGCAGTGTCCGACTCACCACCAAAGATCTTGATGCACTGCTCACAGGTAAGATATCAGGTTTTTCATGCTCGGATCTGTTCCATTTTAATTTTTGTCCCTTCAAGTTTACGAATGACTCCCCATCAAACAGCATTTTAACATCTTTGAACTTAGATGGAGCTTAGTGTAGATACATTACTCTTTGTTTAGAAAATACATATGTCATCTTTTTGTCGCTTTACCTCAGCGAATGTTTTGGCGGCCATGCATAAATATTATCCGAAAAACAAACAGTCGAAGTTCATTGTGCAAAATTGAGAAGTCGGGGGTCGCGACGTCGCTGCTTGATATGACCACTCGCGTTACATACGAAAAAAACACCACTCTCTTCCAGGATTTAATGGTCATATTGGTTCTACAAATAATGCTTTCATCATCATCACCATCATGTCTGAACGCGCCGGTAGGTGCATAAGGCCTCTCTACGAATGCTTTAGTTTGTAATAAAACAACAGTGTCGTAGAAACGGTGCCAAAATGGAGTAACGGTTTTTACTGTGTGTTGAAACGTCTTTTCTCTTTCTAGTCCCGTGCGTTTTATGCTGTGGATCTTATGCTGAAATGGGCTGACGATGGTACGTTTTGTAGTTGGCAATGTAAATATGTTGCATGAAAATTGTTAAAAACCTTATGGACCGCATCTTATCAGACATGAATCAGTTGTTATCTTTTAGACAATCAGAGACTGCGGGGTGAAGCCATCCGTACATCTGCGGGCATTATTAAAACTCGGAACACTGGAATATTTCGAAACACCCCAGGAACAACCTAGTAAAGCTGACAATTAGTGAAATAAAGGCAAACATAAATCGTTAACCCTAACTTTTAATCTAATGTTTTCCAGTTTTTGTTAGTCACTTTACATGTTCCGTGAGATTCGGAAATGTTCCGCGTTCCAGCTTTTAGTAGAGGCGTTCAGTACTAAGATTCAGGCATAATTGCCTGGTTACATCTAACCCACGTTTTGCCTTAAGTGAGACGATATTTTTTCTTTTACTGATAGGCACAGACCAGATGATTCCCCAAGTTTTGGAGGTGAATTACTGTGCCGACTGCGAGAGAGCGTGCCGCTATCATCCAGAATTTTTCAACTATATTTTCAGTCTGCTCTTCCTTGGCGATTCCAATGGTTGGCCTGTGGAAGAGCTATAATGACAAACTGGCCTACAATTTGGTGTGTGTCAATGGTGCTGTTTACGAAAAATGTACAAAAATGAATGTTCAATTCTTGTAAAGTAACGAGCGGCTCGCGTGCCATTGATTGCGATATCAAGTTTTTCGGAGGAAGACCAGATTTTTATCATTTGAAGAGCACTGTACGGTCGTGGAAGAAACTCATCAGGCGGCGCCAGCCTTACTATTTACTTTTAGAACAGTGAGGCTTAAAGCGGACGTTTTAGGACAGTAAGAAGAACAATTTCGCGTTGAAGGGGTATGACACTCGTTCTTAATTAAGTGTTAAAAAAAATAATGTTATTACACCGTATTGCCTTTAGTTTCCTTGGCATTGTCGAGGCTCTGATTAGTAGAAACATATTTTTACAAAAGGCAACAAATGATTACACAGCACAGAGCACAGAACTCTTAATTTATTTCTGAAGTGTAAACGACAACAAAAACGTACTAAAAAGTACCCACAACATCAGCATATTGCGTATTGTTTCATGAATATGTATATTTTATTTCCCCCAATGATTCCATTTAGCACCCTTGTTTCATAATTAGACTTACAGAGGTTTTTGTCTCTCCTAACCGTTTCCCATGGGGAGAAGGAATGTTGCTCATCCGCGTGGTGATTGTGAGGAAAGGTTAGAGCATCGATTCTATGCCTCAAAAGGAGGTCGGACACCTAACGAGCTTTAGACAACGCAGTATTAGTTATCACTTTTTAAGAAGGGAAAAGATGTTTTTAGGAGAAAATTAAGAATAAGGAAAGCCAATTTCGTAGGAAAAGAAGGAAGAAAATACAGCTGCGGTTATGGATTGCTCTGATGTATGGTTACTAGGGTTTAGCACTGTTTTAGAATGGTCAGCTTTTGTTTACTGTTTGGCAAACTCTGTGGAAATACATTTCTATAAATTCACGGCTGTTGGTACGGATTTCTTCTTTAGTGTAGTGGTAAAGTGAGCGAAAAATGTTGTAAATCGGGTTCAAAGCTTCGTCACTCTTTACTATAGCCTTTCTTCTTTTCCTTTAAAACGTTAAAATTTAAAGAAACGTCTCAGTGTGTAGGGTTTATAAGGTATCCGACCACTTTCTGAGCTACAGACTCTACCTGAGGAAACGTTTTCGTGGTTGTAATTGTTGGTTTTACTAGCTAGGTTCTTTCACGACTATATTCTTGAGATGTCTGAAGGAAGCCCCGAGCTTAAATGGAGATATTGTTTCATCCAGAAATTCTCTCTCTAACCCCTTTATAAACACTTAAGTCTACGTCTTCTGTCCAGTGTTACTCGGTTTTAACTCTTGTTTCTGAAACGAGGACAACAAGCATAAATTCAAATCATATTTTTTTTTCCTGGCGGGTTTTCGTCATTGTCTAGTTATTTGTGCACTAAAACTGAACGTGTTATTTTCCCCTCGCGTTTTCAGACAAAATGGTGATTTTCTTGGAAATTTTGTTAAGCACAAGCGAAATTCAAGGAAATAGAAGAGGGTTAGTGAACTGATAGGTCAAATTTATCAAGACTACAAAAGTTGGTCACATTTCAGTAAGACTTTTTCATGCGATCATCACTTTTGACGTCATCAATGATCCGCTCTACATCTCTTTAGTAGATCTAAAAAGTTAGTACAGTTAATAGCATGATTTGTAGTGATATTTGGAATAAATACCACTAGTGATCTTTCGAAATTGTTATACTTAATTTCACGAACCGTTAGGCGAGTGAAATTTGAGACAATTTTGAAATCTCACGAGTGGTATTTACGCCAAATATCACGTACAAATCATGCTATTAGAGACCTTTAGCATCAGGTAAACCGCAAACCGCAGACGGCAAACCGCAGTTACGCGTTTGCAGTTTCGCGTTGCCGAGATTTCAAACTTTAGCAAGGCGTTCAGTTCAGTTCAGTTCATTTTTATTTAGCCAAAATACAGTACAATACAAGAATACATATAGGAATTGTAAGGTTGCAAGGGAGCCCAGAGGAAACCAGAAGGCTTTATGAAGCCTGGGCTCCCCAGTCTCAAAGAAATAAGCAAAATAAAATGATATTCGCGGAGTGATACGTTAAAAATAGGAACCAAAGAGAGACAGAGTTAAGTTATGAATTCAGAAACAAGATAGAAAAAAAAATTAACTCTGGATTGGATCAGAATACTTTCCTTTGTTAGTACGGCAGAAAGGAATATAAAATTGATTTGAACTACGCGTTCATTGTTTAGGGCCGCCATGTTGTTTTCATCAAGTCGAAGTGCATCACTTTAATCGCCCAAAACTCAGCAATAATTCATTGATTCGAGATCAAAAATCCGACAAACACATCGCAAACGGATACAAAAAGCTAGTTCATACCTTTAAACGCGAGGCTGTACAATTTTTTGTGGCAAAAAACCTTGCCGTAAATCACTTACCGCTGGAAGCCCTTCCTGCGGTTCAAACGTGAACTGCAAACTGCAAACGTGACCGCAAGGCCTTGGTCACGTGACATTTTGCGGTTTGCGGTTTGCGGTTTGCCGTTTCCCACGAAAAACCTGATGCTAAAGGTCCCTATTATTTGTTTATACTACTACCCGCAAAAGGTTTTGTAATTTTCACGTGTAGGTATTTCAAATTAAGCTGAAATACCACTGCTCTAAGCCAATCAGATTGCAGAAATTTCTCAAGTAGTAGTATAAAGAGTAGAAAAGAATTTTTTATCGGCCTCTTTGAAACGCTTTTAGCCTGCGAGCAAGCTTTGTGGGGAACTGTGGGGGCTGAGGAGCCCGAGTGTCCCTCAGAGAGGTTGCTGGAAGGCTAACGGAACGTCTTAAACGAACACATACCAAAGTTATGCATATAATACCTACTAACCTCCTAATTGGGTGGCAGAACATTTTCGATGAAGTCATCAATATTGTCTGCGATTGCAACGGGCTCATATGCTGCAACCACGACGGTGGTAACATTGCCGCTTTCGTGATTCATGGCATATCCACATCCTACGCTTGCATGAGATCTCCACATGAGCTTTCGGGAAAGAGACATGAATGCTTATACTGTCAAGATTATAGATTAAGTTTTAGATTATAGATTTGAGGTTAAAGAAAATGATCAGATGTAGTCGACATCGTTGTCCATCTGTCTAGTCCGTCTGCCTGTGGGTCCATTCAATCTGTCACTCTGTCCGTCCGTCAATTAAGGAAAGATTGATATACCGAAAGAACTAAAGGGTCCAATCAATATTTGTCTTTTAACTGAAAAGCCCTTTTAGGGAGTTACGGTAAAGTATGTATGTATGCGCTCCATCCCTCCGTCCGTCCAGTCGGTATGTCTATCTGTCCGTCCATCCGTGTGCACGTCCATCTATGCGTTTGTCTGCTTGTCTGTTCAGCCTGTCTGTACGTCCAGTTGATATGTCTGTCTTTTCATCCGTCCACCCGTAGATCCATCCAGTCCATATGTCTGTCCATTCCGTTGATTGGTCGATCGGTCTGTCTATTCGGTCACTCTGTCCAATCTAGCCTGCATAGCAAGCGTTTCCGCACGAGTTCGTCGAGAAAGGTGAGTTCGCGCTATAACTCGACTGGAAACGCTTGCTACGCAGGCTATGTTCAATCGTTTGTCTATTAATCCATCATCTGCCCATTTGTCCCTTCCGTGTCTCTCCATTCCATGCATCCATCTGTCTGTCCATCCGTCTGCCAGTTCGTATATCTGTCTGTCCGTCCATCCAGTCCTCCATCTGTCCTTCGAGTCGGTAAGTCTGTCTGTTGGTCCATCCATACCTGTCCATCTTTACATCTGCCTGTCCATCCAGTCTATTTTTCCGTCCATTCCGTGAATTGGTCGCCCCATCTGTCCATCGATCTCGCTGCACGTCCATGAGTCCATCCTTTCATCAGTCTGTCAATCCGTCCTTCCATCCGTCCACTCTTCCATCTGTCAGTCTGTTTATTCCACCTGTCTGTCTGTCCATCCGTTCAGTCCCTTCGTCCAGTCCATCCACTCCGTCCGTCCAACCATCTGCCTTTCTAGTCCTTCCATCGAGCCGGTTCGTCCGTTTGTCCCTCCAGTCCATCCCTCTGTCCTTCCGTTCATCAATTCATCCATTCTTCTCTTTTCTGTCCGTCCGTATCTTTAGTCCATCTTTTTAACCATCCACTTGTCCAGTCCATCTGTCCATCCCCGTCGAGCCCATCCCTCCCTCTCTCTGTCCCTCTGTCTGTCCGTCAAACTAGTCCATCCTTCTGTCCATTTCAGTCCGTCTGTCCATCCGTCCAGTCCGTCTGTCAGCCCATCCCTCCGCAATCCCAATGTCTGTCCGTCCATTCGGTCCATCCCTCCATCCCTCCACCCGTCCGTCCCTCTGTCCATCCTGTCCATCTCCATCCCTCCATTCCGTCCGTCCATACATCTTTCCGGTCCGTCCGTATAAATATTGATGATTATTTGTACGGTTTTCAAGGCTTTTGGGAAGAAAAGTGCAATGTACATCCGTTCAGTCCTTGGGTTTGTCCAGTCGGTCCTTTCGTTCATCCCTCTGTCCGTCCAGTCTGTGCGTCGGTTTATTTTGTTTTTCCATCCATTCCAACTATCCAGTCCGTCCTTCTGTCCTTCCAGTATATCCTTGCTTCTGTACGTCCTTCCAGTCTGTCAGTCCGTCCGGCCAGCCTTAAGCTTAATTTCCACTGAAGCATTTTTGGCTACGCACGGTAACCCGCGTAAATTTTAATCACGTAAATAAAATAGAGGCAAGATAAAAAGTGTTGAGCTTAAACCAGAAATTGAGCGAAGTTCAATTCTTGGGCTTATCAGCGACCTTTCATGCATTGCCTCTATTTTATTTGCGAACGTAAACTTAACGCACATGCGCATGTACGCGACACTGGAAATCAACCCTTAGTCCAGTATGTCCACCTGTCCGTTCAGTCCATCCAGTCTGTCTGTGTGTCAGTTTGTCCAATCTGCTCGTCCTTTCGTCTGTCCGTCCGCCCGTTACGCTTTATACTTAAAGAAATTACAGTACTTTCACATGGCCTCTTAAATTCAGTTGGTACTTTTGATAGAAAAGCGATAATTGCTACCAATTCGCATTGGCTTCAACCTACCTCGATGAAACGGTGATTGTCTGTGGAGATTAGTGGCTTAGTGTAGTTGTAGGAATTACCCTCAATGTACCTTAAAAGGCCACCAGAAAGAAAGAATGAGATATATCAAGCATTTTCGATAAAACTGAACAAAGAGGCAGGGAAAATTATAATGTCAGTTCTAATAAATATAGGAAAGTGTGGACTTTGCCCAAAATTAGTCGATCCCAATTACTAAGCTAACGCTTTTAGCTCATGATCTAGAATAGCCTGCGAACTGCAGACGTTTCTTCTCGCTCGTCACCGCTGAGGGACGTTTCGAGGAGAAACGTCTGCCGTTCGCAGGCTAGATCTAGAAAGTCGATTCCAATTTAGATTTGAATTAAACTCATCTAAAAAAATTCAGCGTATGAAGGAGGCTTTACGATCCTACGTTGGCGAGTGACCGCGACGAGAACGTGTAACACAAAGAAAAGGAACAAGGTTAATAGAGTGGTTTTGCATGACGTCACGTCATCTATTTTGTAGTCCCAAAACAACTTGAATTAAAGTGGGGCCGTGTTATTGACATGTTTATGTCCCCGTGCAAACTGTGCAAACGGAAGCAAAATTATTGGCCAACAACTCCCAACATTATTGGACGAAATGTTCAGCTTCTGTTTGAACACCCTGTTGCATGTTTTTGCTTGTTGTTGGGAGTTATTGCGCAAAGTTTTAAACCGGTCAAACTTTTAGCTACGTGTCTGAGCTACGTGCAAACAGACGCAACAAAGTTGCCAGCAATGTTGCGTTCGTTTTCGCGGGTCATTATGTCAAAACTTTATTTCTTCCAATAAATCTGCATACCTGCTAAAAGCAGAACAACAGCTTTGCCCGTGCATCCCAATTATTGGACATTTCTCAGTGCACGTTTACGACGTGAAAATTCCTAATTTCTACAACGGAGGAAGTAACCTAGCGACAACGAAATTGTTTTTCTCTTTTTGAACTTGGATTTGGTCCTTAAGAATTTAGCTCCAGTTGAGTTGACCTTCATTTAAAAAGTAAATCAACTGGAATTATGATGGAAGGAAGGCGAATTCACTTCAAGCCCCTTGCAAACGGACGCAATATTGTTGCATGTTGCATGTTGCGTCCGTATGCACACATTGTTGCATGTTGTGTTGCATGTTGTAGGGAGTTGTTGCGAGTTGTTGCGCAAAGATTGAAACCGGTCAAACTGTAAACGGGCCGACGCCACAACTCCCCACATTGTGAGATATGTCCAGGATTGAACTCTGTTTCGAAATTTACAAAAATCACAAATTTTGCAAAAGTGCTACGAAAATTGCGAAAACAACGGAAATAACGAAATTAAGTTTTGCAAGGCCACTTGCAAAAAGTGACAAGGAAATGTAAATGAGGCCGAGGAAGGCCTTCGACAAATTGTCTAGTTTTCGCAAGGTCATCGTAAAAAATCATTAAGTTTGCAAATTTTGCAGTTTTCGCAAGGCCATCGCGAAAATCGTTAACTTCGAAAATTTCGTAGCAAAGCTCAACCCTGGACATAAATGAACATTGTGGGCCAAACATGTTGAGAGTTGTTGCGTCTGTTTGGACCGCGCGCCGTCACGTCAGGCCTCTTATGCCGTACTGAACGAATGTTGTTACATGTAACGTCTAAGTTTGTAAGCTGACTCATAAGAACATTGTCTCCGTTATCTCATAGAGTGTTTTAACTCACCTGGTCAGCATCTATGCAAATTTATTGGAAGAAAAGGGGGCGTTTGCATAAGAAAAGAGTTAAACTCCCACAGGATTTGTTTGAGACACCAACATGGCCGCCGTTTCATTGTCTTGGGACACCAATATGGCCGCCGTGACGTCATGTGAAAACACTCTATTAGTGAAGCTTTCATGCCTATAATAGGCCATTTTACAGTTATGGATGGAAGCGAGGCTGAGGGTGACCTCGTTTTGATACAAACCTTCTTTGCTTTGTTATGGAAATTGTTCTTGAAAAATACTGGTTAGCATAAGAATAACTTGATTTACATAATAAAGCAGGAAGGTTTGTATCAAAACAAGGTCACCCTCAGCCTCGCTTCCATACACAACTGTAAAATGGCCTATTTCCTCTACAGCCTTTTCCTTACCAGTTTTCTACAGCGTCACTTATTGTCCTCGCGGTAGGCCAGGATGCGATGAAAAAGTTTGCATCATACATGCCATTGGTCACCTTTTCCGGTGGTTCGTTCTTGGTCAGAAAATTAGCCAACTTTTGAGCACGCTTAGCAAGTTCCCAGTTGTATTGTAAGGCAGGCGTACCATGTTTGCTCCTGTAAAAGTTGTGCTCTTCGAGGCAGTCGGATTTGATGCTTGCAAATACTGTGGAAAACACAATAAGATCGTTGTTACGGCAACTTGGCTTCTTAGATATGTATTTCTCTTTTCTTACCTGCGTCTTGTCCTACTGAGAGCTACAGAAGACCTATCGAATATCAAAGCCGGCTAGAGGGAAAAATAATCTGTACACAACTACAGACAATTATTGGCTCTCTTTTTAATACATGATTAAGTAAAACGAAATCACTGTTTTATAAATGCATGTACATGAGTCTTCGACTCCACTAATAAGGGTTCGGACAAATTTTGAAATTTCAAATTACTCGGGCGGGTAGGAGAGAACCCTGGGAACGAGGTTGATTTTTGAACGGACTGATTTGTGCCGTGCAGATTCTGTTACAGTACTATTTGCAGGATTACGTATTTCGAGCATGATATATTACACCACCAATAAACTTGTCCAGTTTATTTATATCAGTTTCCACCTTTCGGATCTCTATTCCTACGTTACTATACAAAGCTAAGAACTAAAAATTTAACTTACCCATGTCAAGAAGTGCGCAGCTGACCAAAAATAAAGTAAGAAACCTCATTTCTTCAGCCTGAGATTGAAATACTGTCTGCGGAAGAAATCTACAACGTTGACATTGAATACTAAAAAATCCTTGTACATCTTGTTCCAAAGTTAAGAGGGATATTCGAAAGTGAATATGTATCTTTTATCCGGAACAATGTAACTTTCACCTCGAACCTAGTTATTTCGTAGCTTATAATCAGCGACTTGAAAATGACAGGTATAACTAATAATTTCATCTTTACATATTTCGGCATTTAGATTTATTTTCATCAGAAAACGAACAGAAAAAGAAATTGCTTGTTGGTTTTCTTTTTGTATCGAAGAAGGCGTTTAATTTGTCCTGCATCTATGGGAGCGAAGGAACCCGGGGGGTACTCAATAACGTTTTATACGGGGAGGCTTCGCCGCGAGATCCAAGCCCTCATCATTTTATAAACCTGTTTTGACTAAAAAGGTACCTTTTTCGCATACCTCCCATTGACAAAATGGTGCCCATTCACATACCTTCTAAAACAAAGTCTTTTTTCATTATGTGTAGCGTGTTTGATAAATGTATAATAATACGGCCATAAGGTGCTTCTGTTCGAAATATTACAATGAAAGCCTGTTTAAAACCTGAACGACAGATTTTCCTAGGTTTTTATTTACTCAAAATAGTGAAATTCGTGCCCTTTCATGATATACCTGAAGTCTGTAAATGGAACTCTTTTCGGACGGAGCCTTTCCGTAGAGGCCATCATAGGGAGTACCCCCCCCCCGCTCCCCAATGGAAGAAACAAGGTAAAGTTTTCAACTGATCAAGAAAAAGTGGCAGTCATGAAAAACGGAAAAATCTTAGTGGTTTGACTAATAGCCTTTCAAAGTCGTTCCAAAAATGTTTTTTTCCTAGAATACTTGGTTTAAAGACCATTTTTAATGACTTATAGCGTTGTTTATATAAGCAGCTAGTAGGGTGCTCCAACATGTAGACAATCCAAAAAAAATATCCACTTGAACAATCTAAATTTGCTTTCGAATACTTGTTCCTCAGTTCACCCTAAATCGAACCACGTCAGTTTAATTAGACTTTGGTTATTTTTTGGGACCTGTATGAGGGTTAACGATTTTTTTTTTAATTTTTTCCAATTTTGTCAGTTTACGCTTACATTTTAGAGCTTTTGACGGATGGTTATTAACTTAAGTAGAAATTTAGTCCAAGAGTTTAAGTAAAGATTTATTTCTGTATATATTGTTATCAACATTTTTGTCTTGGAGCCGGTTGTCTTGGGCTTTTAGCTTTTAAAAATTCGAAATATTTTTAGGTATAAGCAATTTGTAAGGTCCTTTAATGTCCAGAGAGTGTGCTTTTGAGAAAATGGGAACTAAGTTTTCCAGTTTAGAGATTCTTCAGGAACCCGAAGTCTGTGAAGATCTGCCGAAAAAGTGAAGTTTGAGATACCTTAAAACTTTTTGGCGGTTGATATCAATCTGCGTTTTTAACGGTTGACGGTAAAATAAAACCTTTTTCGACGCTTGACAGTTAAATTTTAGGCCGTTTGACGGCTGACGGTTAACCCAATGAGACCCTCCAGTATAATGATTGTTCATCAAATTGCAAGGGAAAAAAACTCGGTTACAACCGACCTTTCAAAAGATAAGAACATTTCCGAAAAAATATTATAACTATTACAAGAAGCAAAACAGTGAATAAAAATAGAAATGAATGTCCCTACCTCAAGAAAGGCTTCGGGTTGAACTTTCCTACGTACCCTCTATGTAAGGGCTCTTCCAAGCTTGAGGATTCCGTTCAAGCCGTTATCGTTGCTAGCGGTTACAAATAGCCATTAAATTGAGCTTTCCTTGCCCAAAATGAGAGTTAATGAGCTTCATCTTAAAAAAAAATAAAAATAGCATTGGCTTATGAAAAAAGTCTTATTAACCATTCTTTAGCCACAACGGTGTAAATCCTCGGAACTCGTTCGGTTTTCGCAAAAAAAAAAAAAAATGTTTAAGCAAGTTAGAGCCTCGTGTCACTGAGCGCAAATATGAAAGCATAAACGAAAACAGTTGCAGACTAATTATAAAGCAAAGATTAGAAAGGAGTCCATATATGTATTTCAGGGAGTTTAGGAGTTAAGAGCAAAAAATAACTTAAAAAGGTATTGTAGAGTTCAGCGTTTAACTAGAATACATCTTATTACAACCTGTACTGAACCTTTCAGAAATGGACGGAGAATAAAAGAATTAAGTAAAGATTTCAATGAATCAATAAGTCAACGAGTCATAAGTCAAATAAAAACGTTCCAATCTCTCGGATATGCTGCCAATAACTGCTTTGAAAAATACTCATGTTGTTACATCGGAGTTACCCCAATTACTTTTTTTTTTTAACCCTAATCACCATTCAATGTTCAATGTGTAAAATACTGACCTGACTCATGACTCTCGAAATAACTGAATTGCTTGGTTTCTAAGAAACCGTTGTACTTTGGGATAGAATTCTATTACAGCAATACCTTAGACTCGTGTAAGGTTTTTCCCACAAACTGTTGTTCTATTGAAGTAATCACTGAACATAACTGAATATTTTAACACTGAATCAATTATCAGTAACAAGAGATCAAAAAAGATTATTATCATGGAATTGAAGTACAATATAGCCTAAAAGCAGGCTCACTTGTGCGGCCCATT